TGTCTACATGCATGCATTCCATTCCTGTGACTGGTTGACAATGGGAGAGCAGCGGAAGACAAGGACAGATCTTTGTCATCCCATAATTGGCCTGAATAAAGATCATCATCAGGATATTTTATTGAAAAAAAAAAAAGACTTTTGAAATCACATTAAAATATGTACCAGTTGTGGACATTGGGCATGCTACTCAAACCCAAATAATCTTCATCTCTGTTTGATTGCAATTCCCAGCTGTCAAAATGGTATCCAGTTGTTGTGCAATTACAAAAAAAAGCTCCTGACACAGAGGAGAGATACAAATAAACATTGTTACTTCTGTAGTTATTCTGTTGTATTCATCTGCAGATCAAAGATATGAACTTCTATCTGTATATAATATCAGTTAAAGCACCTGGCAAGTAAATTAAAAAAAAAAGGGGGGGGGGAATAAATTGTATTCCTATTTAACTCCTTATTAAAACTTAGTTGACCCTAATCAGCCCTAATAAACTCCGTCTTACTCCCTCTTCCAATTATTACCCAATTATTATTTTCCTGATTTTTGTTTATTTCTATTTTTCTAACTATTAATATTTAAATCTTTTTTAAATTTTGTTTCTTAATGTTTTTAGTGCTGCGTCAAGTTTGATTTACAAAAAAGTATTTCATGTGTAAATAACCTTGCAATGTCTGTACCGGAACCATACCTTTAGTGTCATTTTAAAAAAAAGGACAAAATTATGGCATAAAATGTATACTTTTCATCTACAGTAACAACTATTTTTTGAGTCCATGCACACTGGGCACCTGAAAAAATGCCAGATAAAAAATGGCAGATAAAAGTGGCATAAAAAATGTTCATAATAGCTCATATTGCACACAGATTGCTGCACGTTTTATGTGTGTTTGCATTTACAGGCATTTTTTTCCCCAAAAACACTAGCCTCTGCTCATTTTTCACTAAAATCAATTTACAATTGAAAATGCCAAACACGCTTAAATGCCATGTTTATGAGCTTCAAGCCTTTTTTTCTGCCTGAAAGCTCCTCAAAAATGCGATTGTGATATATATTATATTTTTAACCTATAAACGTTCGTCAAATATGCCTGTAAGCACCCAAATGTGCAGGGTTTGTTTTACTAAAACTAGAGAGTGCAAAATCTGGTATGGTAGCCAGCCAGCTTCTAAGGCTGGCCATACATTATACACTTTTTTTGAAAATTTTGCTTTAGATTTACCAAAAACCATATAATATGTGGCCAAACCTAAACAACACTTTCAATTGTATCCAGTTAGGCAGGACCTTGCATTACATAGTTGAAGGTAAATCTAAAGGAAATTGGGCAGATATTTGTAAGAAAATTGTATAGTGTATGGCCAGCCTAACTTCACCTTGTTCAATTAAGCGTTGACAATAAAACCTGGAAACTGATTGTTTCTTTGCAGAGCTGCACCAGATTGTGCACTCCCCAGTTTTAGTAAATCAACTCCATAGGCTAATATAGAGTTGCTTCTACAGGCTGAACGAAAAAAAAGAAAAGAAAAGCTAAACACCTGTATAAGCAGCAATTTTATGCCCAGTGTGCCGGGGGCCTTTAACTGACACATAGAAAACAAGTTCTTTTTTACATTTTTTTTGTTACAGAATTTGTCTGTGGATTGCAGAAAAACAAATTGCAAGACAATGTCACCAAAAGAAAGCAGCCAAGTTTACCTTCAAAAAATGTGTATATACAATATACTGTACATATATATATATATATATATATATATATATATATACACACACACAGTATATGTATATACATATATATTCTTTTGTCCTCTGCCTGACATTTGTTGGACACATATTCACCTGTTCTGCTTGCTGCAGGCTCTGCCTTGAGGAATCAAAGCCCTGCTCTACTAAGTTGGCCCCCCTCCACACAGAGGCACAATGTAGAACAAGGCGTGGTAAGTCAGTTATGGGAAAAAGATTAGCTGCAGGGAGATCACAGGGAATACTGATAACTACTCTTTGGTCCTCAGCCTGCCCTTTATTGGACACATCTTCCATAAGTCATTTCCTTTTCAAGATTTCAAAACTCTTTTTAAATAAGGCCAAGAGTACTATGGAGTGAAGAGCTGCTTACTAAATACATGGAAGAATGACTAAATGGAATTCAAGTCAAAATGCAAATTGTCTAATACCGGGATCACTATCTGAAATGCTTGTAAAAAACATTACTATAACCAAAAGTTTAGATTGTAAATCCATGTGTTATCTTTGATCAGCCACGGCTCAAAATTGCTTGGTAGATTCATGCTAAAATGACCAGAGGGAGATGTATAGGTGTAAAGATGTGTAGGCATTATTTTTGCATTCTGGCACAATGTATACAATCTGCACTTCAAAGGATTCATCTGTTCAGTTAGTTACCGTATTCAATAAACATTAAATGTCATATAAAACTATGTTTAAATTCTGTCTGTGCTTTGGTTGTCCAGCAATCAGCATTTTATTCTATTACCAGCAACACCACGCAACTCATGTTGTCAATTACACTCCCCCAATGTTATCTACATCCTGTGATTGCAAACCCTAACAGGGAAACTGGTCCTCTGTGCCCTGATTATTATTTATATATTATACAGTATTTATATAGTGCCAAAAGGTTTGCTCAGCGCTGTACATTATAGTGGGGGACAGAACATGAGACAAGACAGTAACAATACAATACACGAGGGGTTCGAGGGCCCTGCTCTTTCGAGCTTACAATCTAGGAGGGAGGGGGTAGAGGTACAGGAGGAAGTGGCTGTGGGGGATGGAGTGGTGGGAGGAGTGGAGGAGATCGGTTGTTAGGTGAGGGTGGAGTAGGCTTCCCTGAAGAGATGGGTTTTCAGGGTGCGCCTGAAGGTGAGGAGGGTAGGTGACAGTCTGATGGATTGGGGTAGGGAGTTCCAGAGGATGGGGGAAGTCCTGGAGAAGTCCTGCAGTCAGGCATGGGAGGAGGAGACCAGGGATCTGGAGAGTAGGAGGTCCTGTGAGGAGCGCAGATTACAGGTAGGGTGGTATTTGGGCATCAGGTAGGTTATGTAGTTTGGGGCGGCGTTGTGAATGGCTTTGTAGGTCAGAGTTAGTAATTTGAATTTAATGCGTTGGGCAATCGGGAGCCAGTGAAGGGATTGGCAGAGGGGGGAGGCAGATGTGGAGCGGTTGGTGAGGTGGATGAGTCTCGCCGCTGAGTTCAGGATAGACTGGAGTGGGGATAGCGTGTGTTTGGGAGGCCAGTGAGAAGGGAGTTGCAGTAGTCCAGGCGGGAGATGATGAGGGAGTGTACGAGTTGTTTGGTGGTGTCTGGGGTGAGGAATGTACATATCTTGGAGATGTTGCATAGGTGGAGCCTGCATGACCTTGATAGTGATTGGACATGAGGTTGAAGGAAAGGTTTGAGTTCAGAGTGACACCCAGGACTTTGGCGTGTGGGGTGGGATTGATGGTGGCGTTGCTAGTCGTGATGGAGAGGATAGGGGGGGGGGGCACGGGCTGGGGGTAAAACTAGGAGCTCGGTTTTGGACAGGATAATTTCAACTTTGTGTCGCTTGTAATAGCAGGCATTTCCAAAGCTGGAGCATGGACAGAATTCAAACATGGTGCTATGCATTTATCAAGGTGCATGTCTTATACGTCTGCTTAATGTCATTTTAGGGTGAACTTCCCCTTTAACGCTCCTTGTCTTTCTTTTCATGACACATGACAAGGGTAGAATATACGCCTTCCAACCTAACCAAGCCTGCTAGGCCACACCCTCCACCATCCCAGCTATACAAAGTACGCAAACAGGTTTCTGGAGTCAAAATGGCCATAGCAGCCTTTTATTAACCAATAAATTATTTTAACATAGATAACATAACATTCCAAATTATAAACAGATGAAAATGTGGTGGTCATTTGAGGGCCATAAACGCAACTTCATTTTTGGGGAAAACATTCCTTCAACTTAGGCCCCCAGCCGCAACCCAACGGCTCGGGGATAACCCTACTTATCCGCAGTGACCACCATTTTACCTATTCCGAGTTAACCCCTTGTTAACTGAAATGTACCGAGGTCCCCATGCCACTGATGGGTCCCGCATCTGTCTCCATACAGAATTCTTTCCTCTTCCAAAGACCAACCACCGCCAAGGCCTCCGTGACAACCCAAACCCAAGCACAAAGGGGAGGGAGGGTGGGAAGCTTCTTCTTCTCTCAAACTTTCCCTACTGAACTTCCTGAGGACAGACCCTCCTTTTCCTCCCTGGGAGACCCTCCCCAACACCCCCCCATCCAATAAGGTAAGCCTTAATCCCCAAAACTTCCTTCCCATAATTTAACCCTCTGTTGTCCCTCTATTCCCCGTAGTCATGTCAACCCTGCACTTTTTTTTTACTCCGGACCTACCTGAATCTGCACTGAAAATCCAATGCCAAGTACACAACATTTTACAAGAGATTAAATTATGTGTGAACTCTTACAATGGATTTCTCTTATTTGGTTTACTTTGGTCTGTTAAATATACAATTGAAAGCATTTTGTTCTAACTGGTTTTAAAAGTGCAAAAACTCCTGATGATCTTAACAGGAGTTGAGAGCTACACAGTGCTCTCTACCTTTGTTTTCTCAGAGACGAATGTGTTTTTAGCTTGCACTATAGGTCAAGTAGTCCCTTTGCTGTTAATAAAAAGACAGTGGGAGAGGTTGAGTAGTTTAGCAAATGACAATGGGCAGGGCTGACACCACTCAGTCCACAAAATGCTTTGCGTTGTCAGGCCATGCATATTCTTTGGTACTTGCAAGGTCTTTAACCACCTTCCACCCGCCCTATAGTACAATGACGGGGGCAAGGTGGTTCTCTCATTCTGATAGGACGTCATATGACGTCCTACTACCATTCTCACTGAGCATGCGCAGCTCTGGGAGCACGCAGTGCGGTGATCGCCGGTGCGATGTGTCCCTCGACACAGCGGATCACGGAAAGAGCCGAAGATGTCGGCTCGGCCATGTGATCAGCTGTGTCCAATCACAGCTGATCACATGTAAACATGGAAATGCCGGTTATCGGCATTTCTCTCCTCTCGAGCTGTCATGCTGACAGAGGAGAGGAGAGCCAGTAATCGGCTTTCCGTGGAGGGGACATGTACACTGATCATCAGGGCACTGATGATCAGTGTGGCCCCAGAAGTGCCACCTGTCAGTGCTCATCAGTGCCAGTGCCCATCAGTGCCACATCAATGCCACATATCAGTGCCCATCTGAGCTGCCTTTCAATGTCACCCATCAGTGCCAGTCAGTGCCACCCAGCAATGCCAATCAGTGCCACCTATCAGTGCTGCCAATCAGTGCCACCTATCAGTGCCAGTCAGTGTCACCTATCAGTGCACATCAGTGCCAGTCAGTTCTGCCTATCAGTGCCAGTCAGTGCCTCCTATCAGTGCCAGTCAGTGTCGCCTAACAGTGCCAGTCAGTGCTGCCTAACAGTGCCAGCCAGTGCCACCTATCAGTGCCAGTCAGTGCTGCCTATCAGTACCATATATCAGTGTCGTATCAGTGCTACCTTTCAGTGCCACCTTTCAGTGCCCATCAGTGATGCATGTCAAAGCCTATCAGTGTAACCTACCAGTGCCTCCTCATCAGTGCTCATCAGTGCCACCTATCAGTGTCCATCAGTGCAGCCTATCAGTGCCCATCACTGCAGCCTCATTAGCGCACATCAGTGAAGGAGAAAAATCACTTATTTACAAAATTGTATAACAAAAACTAAGAAAAACTTTTTTTCAAAATTTTCTGTGGTTTTTGGTTTGTTTAAGAAAAAATAAAAATCCCCGAGGTGATTAAATACCACCAAAATAAAGCTCTATCTATCTAAAAAAAATTATAAAAATTTCATATGGGTACAGTGTTGCATGACCGCACAATTGTCATTCAAAGTGTGACAGCGCTGAAAGCTGGAAATTGGCCTGGGCAGGAAGGGGGTAGAAGTGCCCTGTAGGCAGGAAGGGGGTAGAAGTGCCCTGTAGGCAGGAAGGGGGTAAAAGTGCCCGGTAGACAGGAAGGGGGTAGAAGTGCCCTGTAGGCAGGAAGGGGGTAGAAGTGCCCTGTAGGCAGGAAGGGGGTAGAAGTGCCCGTAGGCAGGAAGGGGGTAGAAGTGTCCTGTGGGCAGGAAGGGGGTATAAGTGCCCTGTAGGCAGGAAGGGGGTAGAAGTGCACTGTAGGCTGGATGGGGGTAAAAGTGCCCGGGGGGCAGGAAGGGGGTAGAAGTGCCCGGTAGGCAGGAAGGGGGTAGAAGTGCCCTGTAGGCAGGAAGGGGGTAGAAGTGCCCTGTAGGCAGGAAAGGGGTAGAAGTGCCCTGTAGGCAGGAAGGGGGTAGAAGTGCCCTGTAGGCAGGAAGGGGGTAGAAGTGTCCGGTAGGCAGGAAGGGGGTAGAAGTGTCCTGTAGGCAGGAAGGGGGTAGAAGTGCCCTGTAGGCAGGAAGGGGGTAGAAGTGCCCTGTAGACAGGAAGGGGGTAGAAGTGCCCTGTAGGTAGGAAGGGGGTAGAAGTGCCCTGTAGGCAGGAAGGGGGTAGAAGTGCCCTGTAGGCAGGAAAGGGATAGAAGTGTCCCGGTAGGCAGGAAGGGGGTAGAAGTGCCCTGTAGGCAGGAAGGGGGTAGAAGTGTCCGGTAGGCAGGAAGGGGGTAGAAGTGTCCTGTAGGCAGGAAGGGGGTAGAAGTGCCCTGTAGGCAGGAAGGGGGTAGAAGTGCCCTGTAGACAGGAAGGGGGTAGAAGTGCCCTGTAGGTAGGAAGGGGGTAGAAGTGCCCTGTAGGCAGGAAGGGGGTAAAAGTGCCCTGTAGGCAGGAAGGGGGTAGAAGTGCCCTGTAGGCGAGGGATTAAAGGGATTAAAAACAAAGGGCAAAAGCACATGTATTGTAGAAGTATACTGCATACACGGATTTTGTTTGTCTTCACACACTGTATGCTTTAAGCCTGGGTTCACACTGATGCAGTGCGGAATTCGCAGCGTTTTCTGCACATATTCTGCACTGCATCAGAACCGCACCCCGTTCATGTGAACCTCTGCGGGTGTGTATGTTATGTTAACAACACCCCGAAATCGGTCCACAAAATGCGGTGCAATGTGCAGAATCGGATCGCGTGAATACCCATGAGATCCGATTCTAGTGTGGACCAAAAAAAGGGTCCGGCACTTTTTTAGTGTGGGTGTACAAAATGTATGGCTCTAATTGCACCGCACACAAATCGCATGTGATTTGCACAGGAATGTGGTGCGGTTCCTGTGCCAATCACATGCGACATACCGCACCGCATACGTGTGAACCCTCAATTAGTGCTGAATTTTAAAGCAATGCACCACTAACTAAGCAGCTTCAAACAGTTAAAAAATCATTTTCATCCACTTGATATAAACAACTTTTTACTAACTCTGATATATAAAAGACTAGTTAACAAAAAAAAATAAATAAATAAATTAAATGAAACATCTGATTACACGCAACCATGTTTTCAGTGACACTACTTAGCTAGCTAAATTCCTTTCCAGTCAAGACTAAGTGTACTTGGTGACGTTCATTGAGAATGACTTGGAATACAGTAATCCAACGGGGTCAGAGGAAATATAGATGGATTTGTTTATACTTGCCAAATGTTGGATAATCTGCAGTGATGATTGATCTCAGAGACATGCTGAATAATAAACAGGAAAAAAAATTCTTGCAAAACAGCCGTGTCTTGAATCCAACACTGCTATTATTCCTTGTTTTATTGTTTTCTATATAAAGGAGTTCAAATGCTTCCACAGAGCTAACACAAATGATACGTTTCCACAAATGAATTGTCTGTAATATTAACACTGCAATGGAGAAAGGAAGCATTACTTTGAGTGACTTGAATCGGAATATTGTAGATTTTTCTGAATTAGTAGTTTTGTTTCCTGTTAGGTAATGAAGGTTATACAGGGATTCCTGAAAGTGGCTATTACCTCCCTGGCGGTATGATTATTTCAGATTTTTGGTGCTGAAAGTGGTACATTGTGCTGTGCAACTTTGCAGGTAGTTTAAGGGGAATCCAGGCATGACATTTAAAGTAATTTTTCATTTTTTTTACTTTAAGCAATGAAAAATGACTGCCCCTTTAAAAACTGTACTTTTTAACCTCCCTGGCAGTATGATTCTTTCCGATTTTCTGTGCTGAAAGCGGTACATTGTTTTGCATGGAAATATGTAGTTTTTTTATTGTAGGCTGTAATTTTTAGGAATAACTCACTGAAATCTGTCCGAACAAGAGTCTATTAAACATCCCGGGGAGGATAAAACTTGAAACACGAAATCATAAATTATAATTTAATAAATAATCGTAAAAAATAATAATATAATAATAATACATTTAATTCAATAATATAATCAAACCAAAAACACTGAAATGTGAAATATAGCGCCAAGTTCGCACATCGCTGAGCAAAGTCGCAGAATCGTTTTCAGTGTCTGATGACGAATTTCCCCCACGAATCATTATCACTCAATTCTGCAAGTGGTTCTGATTTACTATCGCTGTTCTCTAGCTGATCTAAACCCGCTTTTGACCTAAAGGGACGCTTTTTGGACGCCATGGACTTTTCTAAGTTTCCAGGCAGAAAGAACAGTCAAAATGCAGGCAGGGCGCCGGACAAAGCAGTCGGGACAAAATGTATGTGAAATGGTTTGATACAGCAATATTTTACTATGTAAAATTCGTTTTGAAAAAAATGAAATTTTTTTTAAATTTTCAAATTTCCCGGCGGCGGCGCCTGTACGTCCCGACGTCACAGGGACCGGAACACAGAAGCCAGATGCCGGCATCGGCCGGAGGAGATGGCCGGGGACGCTGCAGGGGACACATTGCGGGAGCGAAGGACAAGGTAAGTGCTGCAGGGAATCCCTATGCAGCGCCGCATGGTAAGCCCGAGTGTAGCTCGGGGGGGTTACTGCTTTTGGTACAGAAACTTTACCCCGAGCTACACTCGGGAATACCGCCAGGGGGGTTAAGTTATATCTAAAAGGATTTCTGTTGACACATTAAAAAGCATTAGCATGCAAACTCTTTGTTTCTAGATCCATGAATCAAAGGCTTACGCATGTGGAAAGCGGCATGTGACATACGTCATGTATGAAAGCTTATGCCTCATTTAAATGAAACTTCTAAGAAGAGAAACCCAGAACTGCCATTACTAAGCTCTTCTGAAAATGCTAGTTGTCTATTTGCCAAGCTTTCCGTCTTGCTGATCCTCCTACTTCAGTATTTTGAACAACTGATCTGGAAAAAGCTCTGGGTCTGGGTCTGGGTCTGTAAAGTGTTACTAAACCCACAACAGTACAATCAGTCTGTAGATGCAGTAAAGCATGCTTGTTATACTCACTGTGGAACCTAAGGGGATAATGTTCTGCATTGTGTAAAAAGGATGTTTGATCCTTTCTTCTCTGATCTTTCCCTTCCACGTTCCCCATTTCATCTCCTGATAGAACAGAGACTCGAGGACGCTCTGCACATGCTTAGTTTGGTGTGTACTGCTAGAGAGTTTTTTCTTTTTCTTGGGAGGGTGCATGTGATCAGCACAGGACCAATCAGCACTGTCCAGACAGAGGGACAGGGGTTATGCAATCTTATAGGATAGTAGGAGCAGAATGAAAACTCCTCCCACAAGCTTTAACCAATGCTCAAATAGAAGTCACAAGATTGCTGTATACTGCTGATGGGAAAAGGTATTTAGCAGGGGCGGACTGACCATTTGGAAACTCGGCACTGCCCAAGGGCCCGGAGTCAGTACGGGGCCCCATGAGATGCCCCTGGTACCTTTTTCATAGGCTTTTTTTGAGTTTGGGCAAGGACACAGGGGCCCCATGATCCCCTATTGCCCGGGGGCCCCATGAGTTGTCAGTCCGCCCCTGGTATTTAGCAGGTTATATTTACTATAATAATTGCATTTCCATGTTCTGTGTACTGTGGAAGACCAGATATAGTGAATGCAGGGTCCGGGGTTTAGTAACACTTTAAAACCCATTTCCAGTTTAGTTTTTTAAAGTACAACTACAGTATTACGTTAACCCCCCTCCCATGAAAAAAAAAAACAAAGAAAAAGAAAATAGGCTACACGCCTAAAAGGCTAACCTCAAAACATGTTTATTCATGAAAAACATACAAAGTATAGTACATTACATCGGGGACCTGGTTATCACTCCCAACTGTAAAAACCCCACCCCTGACTTGGGGGGGACCTCCCACAATGGACACTCTATCGATGGTACTAAAGAGTGACCTGCACCTCCCCAAAAGGACCAACTCACCTCCCCCAACACCACAACCACCTCTTAACAATCCCCCCAAACAAACAAAACAAACCCCCCCAAAACATTCCTCCCAAGGTACCCCAATATTCCTCCCAC